ATTACTTATTAAAATCTGCAGCACGTGAGACTGATTATCACATAAGATGAGAGTGAATCATAAAGCCAGGACATAAATGTGTTACATCACACTGACAAGTGTGCAGCAGCTGTTAACTCTAATTAAAACTACCATCGATACAAACCTTGTTTAAAAAAATTAACATGTAATAAATCTGGTTAGTTCAAGGCCATCTGATGTCCAATTTTGCTGTTGTTCCTCACTGTGGTTTGAGGTGTGCCAGTTGTCTGGGGCTCAATGATTCGCCCAGAGTTATGTCCCTTGGTCGCAACAAAAACTGGTGACAATGGGGTTGAAATGTTTCTAGGTTTGATATTTCTGTTTATTACCCACCCGTTGAAGATATCACTGTTGAATAATTTTACAATGTTATTACACATTGTGTAATAACATCGTGTGATGTCGTTACGTATGACATCAAAGTGGTTTACAGTTATGACATCACAATGCTAATACATTTGTACCTCTGTCACAATAGTATTAGACCTTGCTTGACTCATTGAAAGCTGAGAGTCACCACACTCGTTGAATTCTTAGGAAAGAAGTACTTTTCTCGATATTATTTTGCTAATGTTGGGTGAGTAATAAATAAAATACTAACCGATGTCACGTGTAAGACCATATTTTATGAAACTTGTGAACCTTTCACTCGTTTCATAAATATGGTAATACACGGGAAATCATTAGTATTCTCTATATTCATGCTGGTTTCACCTTGGTGGTTAACATAGGGAACGCATCAATTAGGGATTTCCTCCCTCCTTATTCACAAAAAGTTTGTAAAAAATACTAATCGGAATCTAAATGTTTTCAGGTAGAAAAATAAGTAATGAGCAATGTGCCTTGAATCAAACATACTCTTAACAGAACAAGCTTGAAATGCACAAAGGAATTTTTTAACGATTTCTTTAATTAGATTTAATTAAATTGACTAAAACATACAAATTCAGATAATGTTGACAATTAACAACACCTAGTGTGATACAGCTAGAATATGCCGTATAAGAAATAGGACAGCAGACTTCATCTATCAGAAATCATCTGAATCGTGGTGTCTTCCCTTCCTATCTTATCTACTGCAGGAACTTGATGACTCTCTCCCATATTTGGTCAAATACCAGAGAAAATGTCTAACTAACATTTATTCTCACTAAAGCATCTGGTCAGAGGTCATAACATTAAAATATAACCAAAATTCTAAAATTTGTATGGAGTTATCTGTAATATATATGGGCAGACGTGTGTACTGATGGGGAGTTTCTCATAATGACAAGCAAAAGAGTTACCTCCCCATAAACAAGTCATCTCCTTTGGACATTTTACTTTGTATAATACATGACACACAGCAAAATATAGTGATCTCAAAATATGACATCCCAGCAGTCAGAAACATGTTTGTATGGCAAACACAGTAACATTCAGCTATACAACAGCAACCTGTGAATAACTGAGACGGGGCAAGTAGCATCTCAATCAAGCGGTATATCTTTTGCAATGTCACATTGATACAAATGCAGAGGACATGAGGTATGGGTTACACATCTATTCTTATGAGGAATCAAACCCAGACCTTAGGTGTGACAAGCAAACATTCTTAAACAAGTTAATCTATTTAAGTTGCAAGCATGTGATACCTTGTGACAACCATTTCTTCAGTTCCTATTAGGATTCATAAACAAACCATTTTCAGTCAGGAAAATATGCCAAATTTCCAGACACACAGAAAAAAAACAGTAGTAAACAAGTTATTGTTTCAGCCCACATAAACAACGCTTTTTCTCCTTTAACTATTTGTATGGGAAGGGTATACATTTCATTGTACGTCATAAGACAAAAACTCCTCTCTGCTCATACAGTACTCTCTCCATAAAAGCAGACGTTTGGACCCAAGATCCAAACATTGCACTCTGGGAAAGCAAGCAACACACACATTCACTACTGATGATGCAGTACCTCACTAGTCTGTTCAAACTGAATTAAATGTAATCATTAAACAGAAAAACCCTACATGTTGTATATTTAGAGTGTATGTAATGATTGTTACTTAAGAGGACACTATGGATGATCTGGATGCATGCGATCCTAAGAACAATACGAAGACAAGTCTCAGAACTAAGAGTAAATGAGTGAGTGAGTGAGTGAGTTGGGTTTACGCTGCTTTTAGCAATATCCCAGCAATATCACGGCGGGGGACACCAGAAATGAGCTTCACACATTGTACCCATGTGGGAATTTGAACCCGGGTCTTCGGCGTGACGAGCCAACGCTTTAACCACTAGGCTACCCCACCGCCCCTCCTCTTTGAACAGTATTCAAGGCATGAGATTCATGAGATGCATATCTCTTCATATCAGCCATAATGAAAACAATGATATATCTGTCACAGTCATGATTCCATGTGCCCCGATTCAGCTGCCATTGTCGCTGTAGTTGTTATTGGAATAACATTTAATAACAATCTTATTCACATTGATCACATGAAAGAATTTGACTTTCACAGAGTGTTCTCCATATCATGTACATGATGTTCAAAAGTAAGTTTGAATCAGCTTTGGGTACAAAATATTGACATAAATTTTTACCATTTTGACATAAGCTGTTGAAATGAGAAACTTACTTAGTCCCAATAATTCATCCAGAAACGTTACTAAAGCAGAAGAGACTGACTTAGAAGTACAGCCCAATGTTGTGATGGCTGCTGATGGTTTACTGATTGGATATACTGTCACTGTATGAAACAACGTACCAGTCTGCAGTTATGGATTTCTTAGATGATAGCCGGAGGTGCTGTGTGCACGCTTCAAGGTCACGAGTCAAGGTCACAATAACACTTAGATGCAGTTCTCATGAACTAGTAATTGAACAAGGACAACAAGAAGGAATGGATAAAAATCAAAGGACATGCAAATTGTGTCAGGTGATATATATGGAAGATGAGTACCATTCCTTTCCCTCTGTTCCATATACCATATCACATGTTGTTAACGTACCATATTCACCATATTAAATGCCAAGCTCCAATAAACACCACCTAGCCACTTTCTAGAGGAATCTCAATGTAATTTTACACTTACAACAAAATGTAAGAAATAGTCAATGTTACAGATTTGTTTAAAGAACAGCAGAGTGGGGATGGATAAATAATAAAATAAAACTATTATCAATATTTTTTAATTATATACCTGACAACTACTTTCATTCAGGTATAATTTGATAATCATGTCATGACAATATTCTTAGTCCTGGGCACTTATAGAAAATACAGTATAGTATGTTGCTGACAATGTTGTTCACAGACAAACTCTGTATGCAATACATGATCTATGGAAGTTCATTATGCAATGTCTAATGTAATATATATTCATGCTATCACAACTGATATCAATCTCCTATTATGGGCCTGTGGCACCAGTCCAGACAGGATGCACAAATGGATCACAATTTAACTGAGTGAGTGAGTGAGTGAGTTTGGGTGGTTGGGTGGTCTAGTGAGTATTGGGTGAGTGAGTGAGTGAGTGAGTGGTGGGTGGGTGGGTGGGTGGGTGGGTGGTTGGTTGGTTGGTTGAGTGATTGAGTGAGTATTGGGTGAGTGAGAGAGAGTTAGTGGTGGGTGGGTGGTTGACTGAGTATTGGGTGAGTGAGTGAGTGGGTGGGTGGGTGAGTGAGTGAGTGGCCAGTAGGTGGGTGAGTGAGTGAGTGGGTGGTTGAGTGACTATTGGGTGAGTGAGTGAGCGGTGAGTGAGTGAGCAGTGGTTGAGTGGTTGAGTGACTATTGGGTGAGTGAGTGAGTGGTGGGTGGGTGGATGAGTGAGTATTGGGTGGGTGAGTGAGTGAGTTGGGTTTTAGGCTGCTATTTACATCAGAGCATCCATATCCAACAGGGACTAAACACACCACTACCACCTATACGAACCCAAACATTAATGACCTGTTCATGATTAACTTTGTCAGCAGCCCCAAAACAGTAAGAAAGTATTCCCCAATGAGTGGGCAGCAGGTTTTGCTCCACAATACAATCTGATGAGACAGAGTAGAATGATTCAGATCTGACACAATGCCAACTCCTAGAGCCGCAGGTGTGACTAACCACCTTTATACAATATACACACAACTCTTGCAGGTGCACTTAGAGACATCCCATACAATAATCCCCTTGAAAAACTTAACTAACACAAAACAAAGGCACATGAGATATGATTCATACCTTGAAATTGACAATTACTGATGAAATAGCTGACAAGGGAGGTCAGTGAGATTTTATAGGTGCTTCATTTGATTTCAACACTGAACAAGACAGTGTGAAGGCTTGGACTGGCTCTACTACAGAACATTTATCTTGAAACAAACACAAATGGAATTGTATACTGTTCAGTGATATAAATGTCATTTTGGTCAAACATACCAACAATCTGACAAATTTTATCAAAAACAATGCAAATTAATGCTGATGGTGCACATATTTGGAATCATGGCCGGGCCAGAGCCAAGAACACTTCAGTGCCAAGACATGAAGTTTCATGTACCTACTTTCAGAAGAATATGTGTGCTACTCTGGGCTTGTAAAATACAGTGAAACATGAATAAGATATTTAAAACTTTGAAAATTAAAATGCTCAAAATGGCTACCAGTATATTAGAAGGACCATATACCACCACACCACATCACATTCAGATTATTACAACCATCTAGCAACACGTATGTACCTGTTGGTGTGTGGCTTCTTGCTCCAGTCCTGGCTTATGACAGTTTAGCTATGATACCCAACTCAAACACAGTATACGGAGCCCAAGAACCCAGTCCATGTTTCATCCCCAGAATACCAAGCACCAGACAGGGAAACAACAAGTACCATCTTCTAACAACATCTCGAATGATGAGGCTAGGAATTAGAACTCCAACCTACCTTTCTCTGGGCAGATGCTGTATCTAATAGTGGAGTGGTACTGAATATGAAAACATGCTAACTATTGCCACATACCTTCTTGGTCCGGTAGCTGCTCTGGAAGCGAGAGAAGACACTGGGTTTCCGCTTCTTCCTCTCTTCTTCCTTCCGTTGCTTGGCTCTCTGGTCTTCAAGGTCGAAACTGGCAGATCTGGGAAGAGGCAAAACAGTATCAATATTCAGTTTCTAATTGATTTAAAAATCTTTTAATTTACCCTTACAAAATCCTCATTCTAATTTTCGTCTATATGCTGTTTTATTAGTTCTTTTGGGGAAATTGTTGTGTTTCTGAATGGAAGACATCCTGATAACCTAAACATAATTATTTTCTTTCAGATACTTTCTAAAATCTTGAACACATATTTGGTTTTGATAATCAGTTTGGTGCTTCAGTGTAAGCAACATAAACATTCTTTGCACCACTGTTCGATTCTGTTTTCACCCACAATGAAACTGTTTCAATTCTTTTAGACGTTCTGCTTATCACAAGTAAGCCTATTTCTGTATACCATTCTTAGAATTGGTTTGTGTAGGATAAGTCAGAACTTGGCCTGGGAGTACTTCAAAGTATTTCCAAATTCATAATTTTCTGCAAATATTGTAAATAAAACTGTCTTAATATCCAGTTTCCACTAGGTAACCCTCATGAGAACATACTCTGATAACAAACTAAAAACTGGAGCATGAAAACATGACAAAGAAGTGTATGCCCAAATCCTGAAATTACTGTGACCTGAAATACAAACATCTCTGACTCTGAACTTACAGGTTTCTGAGAACCAAGTGTCTATATTCACAACAAGCGATATATGAAGCAGCATTGTTAAGCTTAGCAGAGTTAAGGCCTTGATATGTTGTTAGGAAGCAGGTCAACTATACACCGTAAAACAATATTAGTTTCTGAAAATAAATAGCCACAGAAAAATATCCCACAAAGGTTTGTCCTTTATGAAACCCAGGAGAAGTACAAAAACAAAATATTGGCTTGTGCTCCAAAGAATATTCATAAAATTCCACATGTTACAAGAATATGTAGGTTGGACCTCTGAAACAAAATGGGGGGGAAATGATATATACAAGAACAATGGCAGTTGAGAATTTATAACTGAATGATAAATACAAGGGTGTGTAGGATTTGTGCAGTGGTTGGGTAGGAATGTGTGTATGTTTAAAAAAAACAAGCTTATCTTACAAGACTACACATATGAAACGAAACGTTTCATTGGAGTATAACATTTATCAAGCATAGAGGGGAGAGGTCAAAGGCTGGAGGTGATTGGTTGCTTGTAGTGCAGTCAGTCCATTCAGTGAAAAGATGGTCAACAATTGTGCTGCTGCTGCTGTTGGTGGAATAAAAGTGCAAAAGTGGTGGGGTGATATGAGAATTTTACCTTTCTTTTTCAGGAGTTCTGTAAGGAATTAATGGGGAATAATGTATCAGAAAACCAAAATTAATAGGACTGTAATTCTCCAGTCACTTGGCATGGCAGATCTGTTTTATCAATAACACCATGTGTTTCCTATCGACTTCATATAATAAAACATCATAGTGAGTGAGTGAGTTTAGTTTTACACCGCTTTTAGCAATATTTCAGCAATATCATGGCATGGAACACCAGACATGGGCTTCACATATTGTACCCATGTGGGGAATCGAACCCAGGTGTTTGGTGTGATGAGGGACACTTTAGCCACTAGGCTACCCCACCGCCCCATAAAACATCAGATACATATACATTCTAAATAACTGACATAAAGTAACAAACATGATGATGATTTCATAGAATGGCATATTAATGTCTTACAAAGTCACGGATTATGTGACCATGCTTAGTAGTGAATGATTGTTCTATGCTGTTATCAATATTCAATATTCCAGCAAAGAACAACAGAAATGGGCTTCATACCATAAACGGAATAAAACCTGGGGCTTGGCTGGGACACATTAACCACTCGGCCACCCTCTGCCCAAAATGTAATGACAGGGAGAAAAACTGGGAAATAGACATGACTACAACATGGAATAAACTGTGAGTCAGAGAGACAGATTGGTAGACAGATACACCACAACATGTTTACTTATGTGAGTCAAACTGATATAGTGTGTAATGAAAATCAGTGGACAGACGGATGAAGTCACTGTGAACATGACTTGATGTATGTCATGCCACTGACAATGTTTGATGTGAGTCAACTCTGACAATGTTGATTTGAGTCAACTCTGACAATGTTGACGTGAGTCAACTCCGACAATGTTGACGTGAGTCAACTCCGACAATGTTGATGTGAGTCAACTCCGACAATGTTGATGTGAGTCAACTCCGACAATGTTGACGTGAGTCAACTCCAATGTTGATGTGAATCTGACAATGTTGTGTGAGTCAACTCTGACAATGTTGACGTGAATGTGAGTCAACTCTGACAATGTTGATGTGAGAGTCAACTCCGACAATGTTTGATGTCAGTCAACTCTGACAATCAAGTTGATGTTCACTCTGGGCATGATGTGAGTCAACTCTGACAATGTTTGATGTGAGTCAACTCCGACAATGTTGATGTGAGTCAACTCTGACAATGTTTGATGTCACTGTGACACATTCAAGTTGTGAGTGACAATGGACTCATAGCTTGATGTGAATCACCCAAACACATAATCTGTGATGTGAGTCACCCCAGGTACATCATCAGATACAGTCCCAACAGACACCATGACACATGACCATGATGTCAGTCACCAGTTTGATGTATGTCTGCTTGACACATGATCCTTGATGACAGTCTTCACAGTTGTGAGTCACCATGACACACAATCACTGATTCACAAGTCACCACAGTTTGATGATGCACAAGTTTCCCTTTTTTTGTGAGTCACATGATCATTGATGTGAGTCACAATGACACATGATATTTGATGTGAGTCACCATTTCACACAATCACTGGTTCACAAGTCACCACAGTTTGATGTGAGACAAAATGACACATTATAATTCATGTGAGTCACCATGACACATAATCACTGGTTCACAAGTCGCCACAGTTTGATGTGAGTCACAATGACACATAATCACTGATGTGAGTCACCATGACACAATCACTGATGTACAAGTCGCCAGTTTTATGTGAGTCACATGATCATTGATGTGAGTCACAATGACACATATTTGATGTGAGTCACATTTCATGGTTCAAAAGTCACCATGACACACAATCACTGGTTCACAAGTCACCACAAGTCACCACAGTTTGATGTGAGTCACAATGACACATTATAATTCATGTGAGTCACCATGACACACAATCACTGGTTCAATCAATTTGAACATTGTTCCTGTGCCAGATTCATCTACATGATTCACTATGACCAGCTAAATGGTCTGATGATGTATGGACTGGTGACACATGCATGAGAACATGAATGATTCCGGAATGTAAGATTGCCAGACAGACATTTTGAAAAGTGTCAGCGTAACAGGGAAATATGTACTAATAGGAACATCAACATTATAGGTAGAGTCGTAATTCCAACCTCAATTCCTCATCTGGTAAAGGGATGCCAACATTTTCTTGCTTAACCCTAGACTGAAGCTGGTAAAAAGACCACAGGTGGTGATTTTGCACCATTTGAAACAAGATCATACCTGAAATACTATCAGTCAGAGAGCATGATGATGAAAAGAAGGATGAAGGACAAACTGATGTGAGCATGACTGCTATGACAATAACACAGAGAGACAGGAAAATAGACAATACCTTCAACTCACACTCACAGGAACTTACAAGGGGATGTTTTGGGATGAGCACAATAGGAGGAACAGATAACATACATTGATGACACATGGGGCTGGGACAAAGTCTTGTTACCATTGGAACATTATTTATCGCTCGATTTGAAAATGGTAACTACAAACAGCAATAACAGGATCAGGGAAGTCTGGTCCACTCACTCGCTGAGGAAATCCTGAAGCGATATCTCCCCTCCACGCCGACGAACAGGAGCAACATTTTCATCTTCTTCCTCGATTTCATCTTGGCTCCGAAACTGTGCACTGTTAACCAGATGAGTGGGATTATCGTTTAGATGTTGTGGTATCTCTTTATGTCCCTTTTACACAGTTTTCTCATAGGTTCTTTCTGTCATCTCCTATTCTTCTTTCCACTATGAGCTCAGTGCATTTACCTGCTTTAACTGGGGAAGACATTACTGAAAGGACCCATCTCACAAAATATTCACCTCAACCATTGGTATATATCTAACAGGTTTCATATGAATTGACATAGAAATAAGATCTTTTGATGAGCAATAGGACGTTAACAAAAAGAGAGGGACAATATTAAATTATATACTTTCATATAATATTTTCTTAAAAGAAGATTTGTTGACAGTATTGAGTTAAATAGTATTGAGTCAGTGAGTTGTTTTCAATGCTGCTTTGAACAGTATTCCAGTTATCTCACAGCGTGCCAGCTCAATATGACGGGAAGGTAGGAAGGGATGCAGGTCTCACACCTTTAACAACCTTAGCCATTGTCTGGCGCTGACAAACCTCCAAACACGTTTTGAGCAAACCAGGAATCAAACTCATGTTCCTAGGTTCTAGCTTGTCCAAGGGATGCCACTCCGCATAACGAATCGCAGCGCTTAGGACAACTTGGCCACCCATGCCTCTTATCCAATACAATATCTTCAAGCATATAGATTATAGGAATTTATTACTGTATATGACATGCCGTATCAACTTAGTCTACCTATGATCACTCCATGCAAATGTTTGCAGGTGAACTGTTATTGTAATCTTCGGGTTATACGTTTAGTTGAGGCTCATCCTAGGCTAATCCTTTCTATCTAGAGGCTACATCTATTTGGTGGGGAAAGCTTTTAGAGAGGGGCAAAATCTTACTGGGTGGACTATGTATAAAGATTTAACAAGCAGAGGGATAAGAAGATGATGAAAGGTCATTGAGGCTGAAAAACAAGATTCATGAGTAAATATTGTTTAGATTGTTAAATAATGCCATGAAATGTTCTACAACTGAAAAATAACCATGCGACATGCTGGTGCACCAAACAAAACAAAGTCCCTCGCCATAAAACATGCAATAAACATGCAGATTTTCATGCATTACTGCTGCAATACAGTGGAAACAGCAAGACAGGCAGTTGCACATCAAGGGGAGTAACTCTTGTTTGATCACAATATTATCTCCCTTTTGCCATACCAAAAGTTCATTCTCTGAGCTCTTATCACCAAACACATACTGCACATTTAAAGAAATATCTTAAAAAGTGAAACAAAAATGTTTTAATTATGTCTTCTATACCATGTAAATTAAATGTTACAAATTGGAACTATATTTAAAAAACGATTTCTGACCATAACTACCTTTGTTAAGTACCAACATGAAGATAAATACAACCCCAAGATTTCCTTTCAATTTTTTAAATAAGAATAAGGTAGTTTGATGCTTCAAGGCCAAAAAGCAAACAGGAAAAAAATTGAAGTAAATTTCAAAACAATGGAATTTTGAACAAAAATAAATTACCAATTACAAAAATATATGAAACTTGGAATATCTAGAAGTGCTGTGCAATATGCAGGCAGGGCATTTGCGAGTGTGATATACACGTGGAAGCAGGACAAGCAGAAACTGAATGATGCCTACGACGAACTCACTCATGTTCTTGGAGGAGTTTTTGTATTACAGTATAGGACTGGCCATCAGGTCTGAAATAACACCATTGTGTTTCAACAAACAAAAACAACAACCTCAAAGTAAAACACAACTGGGGGTAACAAGGCAGGATCTAGCACCAACACCCGTTCAACAGCTGCAGCAGTGACAGCAACAACAACACCAGGCTGCTACGGTGTCCTCAATACACGACGTCACAACACCACACACAACGCCAAGGATGCACGGTTCACATATCCCTGCAGCGTTCACATGGTGTGCTGGCTTCTCATAGTGTGGTGCACACATCCCTGCAGTTTTCGCATATCTCTGCAGGTTTCTCCTATTGAATGTTTCACATATCATTGCAGCATTCACATGGCATGCAGTTTTTTTCTATTGTGTTTCACATACCATTATTGTTTAACATATCACCATTGGCTTCTCCTAATTTGTACATCATATATCATAGTTTTCCATATTTCTGCAGGTTTCTCCAAATGTTTCTTACATAGCATTACAATTTCACATATCACTGTTGGTTTCTCTTATTGTGATTCACAGACCAGTAGTTTGCAGATATCTCTGCAGGTCTTTGTATAGCCTATTATCTGTTTCAGGTTATTACCATAAAGGGACACAGACAGGTAAACAAAGTAAGGGCCACAATATTCAGCATGCTAGATAACTGTTATATCATCACCATAAAGGTAAAGATGATATATTTTGCTAATTATATCCTAATATTAAAAAAAACCCAGCTTGTATCAACATCTATATGAAATTATCTATCTGAGGGCAAACTAGTGATGTTCTCAACGAAATTTCCTAGTCTTTTAGTATCAGCGTGAGAGTGACATGTTTAACTGTTATGCATGATTATGCATGTGCATGTTTTGTGTCACGTTAATGCCATGTGCTGATCATTCAATTGCCAACACCATCCGTCTGTGAATGCAAGGATTAAAATCATTTGCCCAGCCACCAGTGCCAACTCAAATGTCAAAACGATAACAATATATAATATAAACAAAACAGTTCCTTGACTTAAACCTGAGTTAAGGAATAGTGATTCTAGATGTGAATTGGTGTTCATTATCAAAACGACTTTCATGTTAATTAGTAGTTTAGGAAGAACAATTCAAGGTTTTGAGAAAGTTTGAACTTTGAAATTATTTTTGTAGCCATGCCACTTTACATAAAAGTTCAGACAAACATGTCAACTGTTTGCGTATTGTCACAAACCTTATCGGAGACTAAATTTGGCCTTAATCAGGGCTGAAAAAACACACATGACAAACAAAGCCAGTTCATCAAAAGTTGCCAAAATCTACTTCATACAAGCTGGTCCGTGAAATACTACAGAATGTAGTGTCCTCTGTCATAATAATAATACAGCCAGTCAGTCTGACACTACATCGTCTAGTGTACTACTACACTGTAGCACTACAGATAGTCACTACAGTATGTAGTAGCCTATATCTCCATTGTACAACACACTACAGCATGTTGTGGGCTGTCTGTCAGTCTGATACTACCCATGTATTGGTCTGTCCATCCCTAAAGCACTTCATCTACTCAGTCTAACTAACACTACAGTATGTGGTGGTCTGTCTGTCAGTCTGATACTTCCCCTGTATTGGTCCATACACCCCTAAAGCACCTCATCTACTCAGTCTAACTAACACTACAGCATGTAGTCATCCATCCTCGATAATCTCCAGGGTATACGTTACGATCACTCTCCACTATACCCTGGATGCATCCACGGCTTGGCCCGCTGATTTTATTACCTCCCTTGGCTGGCTTTTTATCCAATCAGGTGTCTACGCTGGGAAGTTGAGCGAACCAATCACAACTCACTTTCGCTTCTTAAATTATCTAACCGTTTAAACTCGGCAACACAATTGATGCAGTGGGTACTCTGAAAGATGTGGAAGGAGTTCTTTTATATATTTGTTGAAAGTTTCAGATCTGTCAATTTGTCTGTATTATTTCTCCAAAAATCTGAGTGGTACTGCGAACAAACCTTCGCAACTGCGACTGCTATCTTTGTTGACACTGGCAAGCTCGGATGTAACGGAAGCTTAGCTGACTGACTACTGTGAGAATGCGTAGCCAGCAAAGGGAGGTAATACAAATATCGGGCCAAGCCATGGATGCATCCAGGGTATAGTGGAGAGTGATCGTAACGTATACCCTGGAGATTATCGAGGATGGTAGTCATCTATCTATGTCTATCTCTAACAATACCGCTACAGTCAGTCAGTCTAACTCTACATCTAGATTTAACAAACTCGTGAACTGATCAGTTATGTCAGTTTCTCTTGAGACGACCGCCAAGAACGTAGGACTGACCACTACACTACGGAGACAGTACCATGCCATGCCCACTTACTGTTTGCCATCCTTGCCACGCCCATCTCTACGGAGACTCAGCTTTCGGGAATCTGCAATATACAATGTGTTAAGTATACAGAACCACATGGGTTACCGAACAAATGCTGGACCAGAAAAAGGGTAAAAGGTAAAAGGGTTTTGATATGGTTTTGTCAGGTATTATACTTCAAACCTGGGTTTTGTGAGAGAAAGCTAGACTACTTCACTGCCTCTTAAAAGACACCAGACATATGCTATATCTATAAAAAAAATATTTTTTTCATATAAGTCTTTTATTTCCATTTCCATATTACAAATACAGGATCGCTTGTTAAATAAGCGTTTGAAGCTAAATATATGAAATATCTTTACTTCATATTCTAGGATTACTTCAGCCTGATAAATATTTTTACCTGCACCATAGGACAATATTGGAGGTTGAAAATAGTGCATCTACTGCACTAGAGAAAATGTGTAACAATGTACTGCTTAACGAATCAAGCTCCACATATCAATACAATGTTGTAGCTGGGGAAAGAGATATAAACTGTATCAGAAGTTTGAATAGAAAGATATATCTCTGGTAGCGCTGGAGTGGTGAACTCAGGAACTCATCAAGCGGATGCTGAATATGACCAAAGCCCCCACAGGACTACAGGGGCCCCGAGGTTAGTCGTGTGATTCATTGTCTACAGACAAGCTCCATGCTCACAATACTAGTTACTAATGTTCCCATTTCTTTCTGACCAAAGCTGCAGTCACTTCAATGTCTACATGATCAGATTGTTTTTTATGTGTATTTTTATTGTTTTACTTGAGTCCTGGCAAAAAATATTCCCAATCAGACACTGCCTACCCTGCAGTGGGTGCGGGTAGGGTCCGAGTTGTAAATGTGGACCAGGGCCCCGTTCCTCAAAGCGATCGTAGCGCTACGACAGTCGTAAGTCTATGTTAAAGTATGGGAGTTACGACTGTCGTAGCGCTACGGTCGCTTTGAGGAACGGGGCCCTGCCCCCATCTTAATTGCTGCAAAGCTTTGTACAATCAGTACCCATGCTAACTGTGAAGATCATTATGTGCAATGCACATTCCCAATAAACAGCTCAGATTTTATCAGAAAACAACCCCAGAGTCATTCTCTTCCCACAGAGGTTACTTGTCATTTCTTCCTACGAACCTCTGTTCTAATACGGTCATATTTCCAGGTTCTCGTAAAATCCCCTAGCGGCAAAAAATCGCAACACGAATTAGCTCCCTTCTTTCTGTCCAATCAAAACACGTGTTACATCAACTTGACTAATACAAGCAAATGTTGGGTCACAAATATCCCTCCTCTGCCAGGAACGTGTGTTGATGTGACATCAAGACATTTAATGGCTAGCTTGTCCGTTGTCAACGAGGGCGATGGAGACGCCATTGATCTGCCATTTACATGACTGAGTTTTGTCTATAAGAAACGTTTGCGCATCGCGCAGGGAATGAGGTTCTAGTTTTCCCGAAGCATACCGAAATGACCGAGGCCTTGCGAATGATCACTTTTGAAACAACATCGCTGATTGCACAACTAAATCTGATTGCAACCAATCACGCTTCCTGAACACTCGCACCATGAAAAGGCCGTATTAGAACATAGGTTCATAGGAAGTTATGACAAGTAACCTCTGTGGGAAGAGAATGCCCCAGAGTGCACTATACTCAAGAAAATATGGTATTCAACTTGTGTTTTCAAAAGTAACAATGAAGACTAAATATTTTTAAATCAGGATATTAACAGAATAACTAAAACTGCTGAAATATAAATTATAACCACACTCCAAGAATAAATCTTGATCCATGTTAAAGCATGATGAATATTTTTGCTGGAGGACACAAGTTAGGGTCACTGTCTCACCAGCTGAGTTCATCTCCTGTTTGGCAGCAGCGGGGATTGAGGGAGTTGAGAGAGACTTGGTCATATTGGAATGTGGCACTCCTAGGCTGCTTGTGTACTCCTCTTCACACGAGCACACACCCTGAGTTGCAGCAACCGTGTACGGACGAGACTTAGTGTCGCGCACACCACCGCTCTGTGAACAAAGATACATCACCAACTCAACAAATGATGATACCAAATGAACGGAAAGGTAGCTGTATCCGCTGTTTCATCTGTCAAATATTTTCAAATATTATCTAAAGGGGTAAAGATATAGGGGAAACTATTTTTGGTAAGTTTCAGAAAGATTGATTCAAATTTAAGAAAAGCATGAAAATCAAATAATTTGAATAAAATAAGAACACAAACATACAAATAAATATGGAACTTTAAGCAATTTGGTGATATCAAAACTGTCCATAATTGAAAATCAGTCACAGCAAAGAGTGGGTATTTTTGGCCAACAATTTGATATCTGCTACAATGCATTAGCGTATTTCCCAACAAAGCCATAATCTGTTTCTCTAGGAGACCTCTGAAGGAGTTGTACATGCAATCTGTCCTCTGTAGGACCTCTGAAGGAACAGTTTATGCTACCTGCACTCTTTAGGACCAATGAAGGCATGGTGTGTGTTATATATCTTCTGTAGGACGACTTAAGGAAGTATATATGTTACCTTTTCTTGTTGTGTTTCATATGGAAGATCAGTGAGCGACCGAGCAGAGGGATTGGCGGTGGTTGGCTCACTCATGGTTCGAGTGAGGTAGTCACTGGCATTCGTTTCTTCTTGCACTGAAACATTAAACACAATTGAAGGTATCCTGAATGAAGCAACTAACCCACTGAAGGAATATATGACATGTTTTTTATGGTTAACCACCACTTTATATTCTCTTGCCTTCCATTAAACATGTGACATGTATTCATCCAATTTCTAAATGACTTTCAAGAACTTAACCCACAAAAGCTGAAAACACATCTACCAAGAACCTGACACAAGGTATAACTTGTCCTCAAGGTTGTAGTCTTGAAGGGAACATTGACATCTCCAGTATCTGTAGATACTGATAAGATACTGTCATTGACACCTTCATCTAAAGGATATATTTTGCTGAGAGCAAATTCTTCCAAAGATGTAAATATCTAGAGAACATTTGTTATGTTCAGGACACAGCCATGTAGTTTAGGGGCTACTATATCTTTAACACCTCCAACTGCATAAATAACAATATGGATTCCATATCTCATATCCTTTCACTAGTCTTTCATATGCAATACAGATTCCATATCTCATATCCTTTCACTTGTCTTCCATATGCAATACAGATTCCATATCTCATGTCCTTTCACTTGGCTTCCATATGCAATACAGATTCCGTATCTCATATCCTTTCACTTGTCTTTCATATGCAATAGATTCCGTATCTCATGTCCTTTCACTTGTCTTTCATATGCAATACAGATTCCATATCTCATGTCCTTTCACTTGGCTTCCATATGCAATAGATTCCGTATCTCATGTCCTTTCACTTGTCTTCCATATGCAATACAGATTCCGTATCTCATATCCTTTCACTTGTCTTCCATATGCAATACAGATTCCATATCTCATATCCTTTCACTTTTCTTCCATATGCAATACAGATTCTGTATCTCATATCCTTTCACTTGTCTTCCATATGCATTATGGATTCCATATCTCATATCCTTTCACTTGTCTTCCATATGCAATACAGATTCCATATCTCATATCCTTTCACTTGTCTTCCATATGCAATACAGATTCCATATCTCATATCCTTTCACTTGTCTTCCATATGCAATACAGATTCTGTATCTCATATCCTTTCACTTGTCTTCCATATGCAATATGGATTCCATATCTCATATCCTTTCACTTGTCTTCCATATGCAATACAGATTCCATATCTCATGTCCTTTCACTTGTCTTCCATATCTCATGTCCTTTCACTTGGCTTCCATATGCAATACAGATTCCGTATCTCATATCCTTTCACTTGTCTTCCATATGCAATATGGATTCCATATCTCATGTCCTTTCACTTGTCTTCCATATCTCATGTCCTTTCACTTGTCTTCCATATGTAATACAGATTCCATATCTCATATCCTTTCACTTGTCTTCCATATGCAATATGGATTCCATATCTCATGTCCTTTCACTTGTCTTCCATATCTCATGTCCTTTCACTTGTCTTCCATATGCAATACAGATACCGTATCTCATATCCTTTCACTTGTCTTCCATATGCATTATGGATTCCATATCTCATGTCCTTTCAATTGGCTTCCATATGGAATACAGATTCCGCATCCTATGTCCTTTCACTTGTCTTCCATATGCAATATGGATTCCATATCTCATATCCCTTCACTTGTCTTCCATATGTAATACAGATTCCATGACTCAGTTCCATTTATATTTCCTGTCTATTGTCTTTTCTACCTAAAGTTTCAGTTGCTGCACCTCTGTTCATCACAATGCCATTGTATTATATCATTCCTTTTTAAGTCTTTTACCGTTGACAACCATAACACCTGACTGTATGTAAATGTTGTTATACAATCAGGAATGTTAGAGCTACATCATGTGTGTCTGTGAAACATTTAGTTTGGGCTTGACAAACTAGTGATTGATATCATGAGCAAAGATCTGATTCAGCATGGTAAACAGACTCACCATCAGTCAAGTCATAGATACTTCTGATTTGGCATGTCTGACAGCTCTCAGAACCAGCATGACAGATTTGACAGCAAGCAATATTTATTCTCTACAAGTATATACTTTACCCTGGTTTGATATACAGTCTAAAATGAACTCTCTCATGCAGTGATAAAATGTTCAAAATGTCTAAGGGGACACCATCAACATAGGATAGTTTGTATCACAGTAAACACTTGTGTAGAAGGCACAATGGTTTGAGGCAATCCTCATCACCATCTGTTAGCGCTTCTCTGAGTTCAGCTGACAAACTTCATTCAATGACTGCAATCAAAGGGACAAGTATTCTGATATTGGCTGCCAAATGGCAGTGTCAACCTTGACCCTGAATCACCCCAGTTCTAAATTCATTGGCAACATCAAATATGAATAAACAACAGCTAGGGATTGTTGCAAACAGTAGTGGGATATATCAACAACTGCTTCCGATGGCCTGTAGCACTCTGGCTGGGACTACAATAGGACAGATTGCAGCTCAGAGACAAGTGTCGGGGAAACAATGGACAAATAATTAAACAAGATCAAGGGTCACGGAAGGCTCAGTGTTGTTTTGGAATACCTTAGAAACAAGAAGTTCCTTTACTAATTGTCTGTGGACAAACTGGTCTTGTGGGGAGAAAAAAAGGGTTTCTATGTTTATATAACACTGATGATTAAAAGTAATGGTGCAAGGAGATAATTTAAATACTTTCTTAACATAAAAATATACCTTTGCTTATTTATTATGTACTAAACATAAGACTTGAATGCTCTGTTTTGACTGAATCGTTGTTGAGCTGAATCAACCTCAATGAGACAATTATTGTGGAAGGGCATGTGCCATCTCAAATAATGTCTGTGCTGTTTGCACCTCTGACATCTATGTCGCTAAAATTATCTCAAAGAATATAACCAAATCAAAATAAATATTTTTTTCCAAACATACATAATAATTTAAACAATTTGAACATTTCAACATTTCATTTAGATGGATCTTTCACAATATCATCCTACTGCTAATCAAATCATCAGATTCATCTACTATGAACATCAACTCACATACAAAGATTCTTCTGTTATCAACATTAGCTCACATCTGAAGATTCTTCTGTTGTCAACATCACTCACATACAAAGATTCATGAACTACTGACATCAGCTGACATAAAAGATCATTTCACAAATTATCATCCTTCAAGAATAAAGATCAACATCAGCTGACATCAAAGATTCATTAACTACTGACTTCAAACATTCAGATTCATTTCAACACAGCTGACATTTCAAAGATTCATCTGTTGTCAACATCAGCTGATCTTACAAAATATCATCTTACTGTCAATGACATACAAAGATTCATCTGTTGTCAACATCAGCTGACATACAAAGATTCATCTGTTGTCAACATCAGCTGACATACAAAGATTCATCTGTTGTCAACATCAGCTGACATACAAAAATATTCATCTGTTGTCAACATCAGCTGACATACAAAGATTCATCTGTTATCAACATCAGCTCACATACAAAGATTCATCTGTTCTCAACATCAGCTGACATACAAAGATTCATCTGTTGTCAACTATGACATACAAAGATTCATGATATGAAAGACAAAAGATTCATCTGTTGTCAACATCAGCTGATTCATCTGTTGTCAACATCAGCTGACTATTTCATCATCAACATCAGCTGTACACAGATTCATCTGTTGTCAACATGATTCATCAACATCAGCTGACATACAAAGATTCATCTGTTGTCAACATTAGCTGACATTCAAAGATTCATCTGTTCTCAACATCAGCTGACATACAAAGATTCATCTGTTGTCAACATCAGCTCACATACAAAGATACATCTGTTCTCAACATCAGCTGACATACAAAGATTCATCTGCTGTCAAGATCAGCTCATATACAAAGATTCATCAACTATCAACATCAGCTCACATACAAAGATTCATCTGTTCTCAACATCAGCTGACATATCAAAGATTCATCTGTTGTCAACATCAGCTGACATACAAAGATTCATCTGTTGTCAACATCAGCTGACATACAAAGATTCATCTGTTGTCAACATCAGCTGACATACAAAGATTCATCTGTTGTCAACATCAGCTGACATACAAAGATTCATCTACTATCAACATCAGCTCACATACAAAGATTCACCAACTATTGATATGTGTTCATGCACACTCACCATTTGGACTAGACCCAGTTGAATTGACTGGCGAAAGGCTCCTATCTTCAGTGTAGACACTGCCGTTAGGTTTGTGTTGATGAGCAGTGGGGACGGCACCAGGGGCAGTAGTCAATCCTCGTATCGACTGACCAACGTTGGTGGCGTTGTCCCGTGCATCCTGGTAGTCCTCTTCTTCTGATTCTTCTTCTCCTTCCAGACTGGTCAGGCTCATACTACAACACAACACAGCCTCCTGTTTATACACAATCACACCTAAATGAGGAAGAAACAATTATCAAAGAGAACAGAGTGATGGAGTGAGTTTAGTTTCACGCCACTTTTAGCAATATTCCAGCAATATCGCAGTGGGGGACACCAGAAATGCCCTTCACACATTGTGCCCATGTGGTCCTGGGCGTAACCACAAGGTACCCAATTTCAATCAATGAGGAAAAAAATCAGCTAATGAATTAGGCTTTAAACTGTTCCCTTAAATATTCTGTCCACATCTTCATATCACTATATGCATTGTCCCAGTGTCCGTAAGCATTTTGTTTATATGTATTTTGTGAATGTAAAATATTACCAGACTTACTGACCTACTTATCACCTAAACAGAACCCAATACATGATGGATCTAACAACAATGGAATGCTTTTCTGACCAATCAGCTGGGTCTCACCCGTTACAAGATCGATGCTCATGCTGTTGATCACTGGATTGTCTGGTTCAGGCTCGTTTATTTACAGACCGCAGCCATATAGATTGAATATTGCTGAGTGAGGCATTAAACAACAACCAAACCAAACTGTCTCCAAAAAAACATTCTCATGACATAATGGTGACATCGCCCATACAGACCTTTCAGTCTTATTTTTTTCGTTCTTATAAAATGAATGACCGGACCTGGATATCCCTTGGATTGTCCACCTCAAACACTAGCTGCCCATTCCTTCATTAAAGTAAGAATGTTAAATATGTTTCCCCAGATGGATCAACATCACACGTCAACATGGCCACAAACTCCATCATTTACCGAAACAGTAAACTGTTAAGAAAATGCAAATACACAAAGGCCAGATTATATTTGAGTATTGATAAAGAAACAAGAAACATCAATATTGCTTAGGAAGTTTTTGCTATGAAAATAAACAAAACTCTGTAAGTTAAGATTAAGGAATTTAGCAGCAGAAATTTTAATGTAAACTCTTTGGTACAAAAAATGAAGGCCACAATATAAGGATCATGAGAAAAGACAACAAAATATGCTCATGAACACATGAAATGTTCCTGTAATCACATCTGTCATGCATGGGGTATATCGAGGTATCCTTCCTATTCCATTACACACTGGCATGTAGATACAACCTTCCTTAAAACTAATAATCACACTGGTTACAAATCCTTACCACATTTCTACAATGTTTAATCAACATCATGCGTTTAGATAAGGATCAAAAGGATGACCTCTGACCGCCACACTGAAGATGGATTTGTTTGAGAAAAACAATCACCAGGAAACAGTGATAACATTTTGTGCTCAGGCAACCATCACATGACATGACTTATACCGATGGCTACCCATAAAAGTCCTCTGTACATACAGGGGAGTGAAGGTGTTATTTAGTCATGGATAAATGTCACTTTCCGAGCTAATTGCCAATTAGGAGAATAAGTCTGGAATCCACCTTCATCCAGGAACAACACTGCGGTATTGGCTCTGTGACCAAATAAAGACAGGGTATATACTGCAGATTGGTCCAGTTTCATCTGTAGATTGATTACTATAGTTACCCGCTCAGGTTAGTCTCAAACATCCAATTATAACTCTTGCAACGAGGACGACATTATCGAACCCTTCTGAAGCAGGGGCATACATTCTGCAATCGTGTTTTCCTGATTTTTTTTCAAATGAGTTTTTAAAAAATATTTTTGATATATTTGATAATTTCAAACATCTCTACTATGCTTTAGTTTCAGAAAGAGAAATTAAAGTTTAGAATATAATCTTACATTTGACTTGAGTTTTTAAAATATCATTACAATGTATTAATATATTGATTATTACAGTTTTCTCGTTCAGATCAGTTGAATATAATCTTACATTTGACTTGAGTTTTTAAAATATCATTACAATGCATTAATAAATTGACTATAAAAGTTTTCTCATTCAGATCAGTTGAATATAGTCTTACATTTGACTTGAGTTTTTAAAATATCATTACAATGCATTAATAAATTGACTATAACAGTTTTCTCATTCAGATCAGATCTCCCACTGAAATCCAAATACACTATATTTTAGATGGCACATTGACTGTAAGGAGTGAGTGAGTGAGTTTAGTTTTACGCTGCACTCAGCAATATTCCATATATATGGCGGCGGTCTGTAAATAATCGAGTCTGGACCAGACAATCCAGTGATCAACAGCATGAGCATCGATCTGCGCAATTGGGAACCGATGACATGTGTCAACCAAGTCAGCGAGCCTGACCACCCGATCCCGTTAGTCACCTCTTACGACAAGCATGGGTTACTGAAAATCAATAGTCTAACCCGGACCTTCACAGGTTTGACTGTAAGGAAGAAGTTTTACATTTATTCTATTACAATCAAACTTGATCAAAATTTGCAATTTTTGTTGTCTTGTAAGAAGGTTCAGGTTTCCTTTGAGGCATTAGTGTTGGTGCTGCTTTGTCTCACCCTAATATTTGATAATTAAATTGTGTGTTTCGTTTAAATATTAAACTGAGTATCTGATCAAGCCAAAGTTTCCCATCAATAGTTCAAACTGAACACATCTGAAGGATAGAGATACATTTTTGCATCCTAACTACTATGCACTGTTACCCCCTTTCAAACAATATGACTACACAAGACTTATTTTGTTCGTTTATCACTGAATGTCACTCAGCAATATTCCAGCTGTATAATGGCAGGATAAAATCAAGCACAAACCAGTGACTGATATTAAGAGCATCAACCCATGACATCAGGGTTAATGATAGGAAATCATCCAGTCTAAATCCTGATCCACTCAGTCGCCTCTTACGAAGGGCAGTGGGTGAGTGAGTTAGGTTTAACACCGCTTTTAGCAATATTCCAGCAAAATCACGGGGGGGAACACCAGAATTGGGCTTGCCACATTGTGCCCATGTGTGGAATCGAACCCAGGCCTTCGGCGTGACGATCAAGTGGTTTAACCACTAGGCTACCCCAGCACCTTTTACGAAGAGCAGAGGATCCTGGGTACCCTATTCAATCCCAAATCATCTGGTGGTCCCAACCCACACTTTATCATCAGGAATCATTGTTATGTCCGGTGTAATCAGTTTTAGTGGCCTACTAATTGTTCCTCTTCGATGTTTCCACCAATCAGTTATAATATCTTTACTTAGAATTATATCATGTAAATAACTACCTTTTTCCTGTCATAGCAAGCATCTTAGCTCGAGTTGTCTCCCTTGGATTTCGGGTTTGGGTTACCACTTTGTTACACCAACTATGACGACGTATTCCCCCTGGGCCAGAACCTTCAACATCATCGACGACACTGAAGTCGGGCTGCTCATATTGCCTCATGTAAAGAGGGTCTGGGATGTCTGTTGAGCTGTCCACAGTGACTCCGTTGACGCAGATGCGGATGTTGCGATCACCTAGACCGTCAGCGTCAGTGGATGCGGAATGATGACTGGAGAATGCTGAAGGTGATGCCTCGGACGTAAGGTGACTGGATGGGCCCACCTCCTGTGCCAAGTCCAGCATAGACTTGTGATGATCTACAACAATACAGGAACAATCGTACACAACATAGGGCATCAGAACTCGTACTGTGCGGGGGCACGTTTCTAACATGGCGATCAGGCAACAGTCCTGGCTTCTACAACACGCATCTCAGAACACATCCAGCCTATCACAGTAGACATCCAATAACACAAGATATCAAGTCTTCATATGGTGCAGGAGAATTCCAACAAACACACATGTTTTAGCACTAAGTAAATCTGTATACAAAATCTCCAAAATTCACAAATAGTATTGAATATTTTTTATGAAGAGCATCAAAGGCATCCCTCGATGAAACGAAATATCATCAGTTCCATATTTCCAGTTATCATCACAGTCCACATGTGTTTAATGCATCACCGTGTTACACTGATCACACAACAGCCCAAGATAACCCTCAACACTCCAACACAGGCCACACATCACACACGTATACAAGACACACAACGCAAATGTTACGATATTGCCTGGTCGCCCTACACTCAATGGCTGTCAAACTGATCAGTGGAGGTTGACATGAACCAATCATTAGCAAGCCTCATCCCGAGCATCACGTCCAACCTAACTGGGTTGCCATTCTAAGCTTTTGTGTACCATAATATCCAAGCGGACAAAACCAATGTTATGGAAGTGGGTGGAATGTTTGAACGGCTATGTCAATACTCCTTTCCCGATGTCCCTTGAAACATTTCAAAAGTCACTTGCCTATCTTTCTCCAATCAACACCTGATTAATCTTTGACCTTTCACTTCTTTAGAACCATGATGAATTTAAACAAGTTTCTTTTTTTTAAAATTTGTCGCAAATAAAATGAATTCCAAAGTCAAACTGATGGACTCAAGGCCTAGTTTCGTCTATTTGAGAGACAGGAATTGGCAAGTGTTCGGTGTGTGGGATTCTGCCAGATTTCACCCTTGTAAAGCAGCTTATGGTTCAAACAGAATAAACCGAGGATGTGAAACATTCACCAACAACGTAGTCCACATGAACTGAACATTGAAAAACTTCAATTTTTTAACTTGTATGCACCGAAAATTCTGAAATCTTTGGGGTTAAACTTTGCATAAAAATTATACAGTGACCTTTCAAAAGTGATAGGTTTCCATAGACAAAACAAATTTTTTCTTTTAGTATCTGAGTCAAATTAATCAGGTATAATTCTAAACAGCAATGAAAGTATTGGAAATTTATTTCTTTAACAGTCTCAAAGGTTTCGATCTGTAAATAATCTTCATATTTTGCAGGCTAAACTAAAATGCCTCTTTCCCAAGGCATTTTGACACATTTTACTCTTATTTTCACAGTGTTTATTCATCACTGTTAAGAAAACTTCATCTTGATTATTAGCAAATTATTATTCAGTTTTATGCCACTGTGTATATGCCCATGGCAGGCATTAAGAAAACACTTGTCGTTCAATCTTTCTGAAATTGCAATGACTTTTGACATCACAAATTAGCAATCTTGCTATAAATCTGCAATTCCCATGAAAGGCATTGCCCAAATGTTCTCACTAATCCAATTCAATTATCTATTAAATTATTTTGGCAATTACTCTTAAATAAGCATGAAACATAGAAAGTTTTAGGGTTCATATCATTGCAAAAACAGCTTCCAGTATCTGTTTCTGATTAGAAACAATTTCAATTATTTTTGTGTGTCAGCTTATTTGTTCGTAATGAGATCGGGTGGTACTCGCTAACTTGGTTGACACATGTCATTGTATCCCATTTAGGTAGATTCGAGCTCATCATATTAATCACTGGATTGTCTGGTCCAGACTCGACTATTTACAGACCGCCTCCATACAGTTGGAAAATGGCTGAGTGCAGCATTAAACAACCAAACAAAAACAAATTATTTGCTCCACCTTTTTTCTATTGAAAACATCTGAGTTAGTATTAATATGTCCTCCAGTTATAGCCCCACTAGTGTTTTAACATCAGCCTGTTGAGTGGACACAAGAAATCACAAAAGGTTTTAATGACTAAGACAGGCATCACTTCTGGTTTTCTGAACATTTCAACGGTGAAATAACATACAGACTTCATAGTAGCATAAGACTCACTCAGATTCATCCACCCATCAACCTCACTCTCTTCCATAATAATACAAATGTCTGGTTTCCATTCCAAACACATAATAAAACCATGAATCACTATATAAGTAGTGACCCCAGGCATTGACAAAGTGAGCATATCTTGCCCCACTGGTGGCCTCCTCACAAACACATGCCAGGGCAAGTCAAGTGTTCACTTGTTCTAATACAGGTTCAAGTACCTGTCAGATGGGGAACTGACCAGGTCACTGATGACTCAAATCCATATGTACATACCTGCTTCATCTATGGGGGATAGCGGTGACCCACGACCTTGAATATCAAGAGATGGGCAAGATGAGCTGAAGCGGGCGAGCGTATCCCTTCTTACATCCTGAAAAAACAAGCAAAATGGTCAATATCTACCGTAATTACCAATCTGGTTAACCAGAGAGTTCTGATCAAATCCTATAGTTGGTAAAACCAGAACGCTAGTCAGCGATGGCCATACATCGACATAACTCACTTCCTATTGGTTAGCTCCATCAGCATCAGATAGACATTTTTTTAAGTCTTTAATCACACATTGCAGCTTACAAGCTTTCTCTGCAAGATGACATAGATGTTCATCCAACTTACAAATGTCAGCTATGTTTGCAAAGCCATATTTTCCAATCATATTCGCTCTTCATGCCTACAGAGACAGACAAAAATAAAGGTCTATTTGATCTACAACACAAAGCCTTTACCGGGGACAATATTTCAGAAAATTGCATCCTAAAAACTCAACAGTCTTGGAAAGTCAAAGCGGGTGAAATATGTTTTTTTCCATGTAGGAAATTAAGGAAATTGGGAAGTTTGGCCATGTGCTCTCTATGTGCATAGACTGGCAAACTCGAATACATGTTTAAATCACACACAAAAATTCAGTTCATGGCCTACATTCAAAGTCTGCAATTTAGCCAGTAGCCAGAGTCGAGTAACACGACAGCAGTTCATTCTAGTCGCCACACCTTTCTTAAGTCATTATGTCAAAACACAAGTCAGCACAGTTAGACTAACTGTATTTGACACACACTGCTTATTGTTTTCATATTTTAAATATTTTAACTTACCCTGAAATATCGGTCATGTTTCTTATTATTCTCAGAACAGTTTTTATTTCTTACTTCTGTCACATGTATTTTATATTTTTGTGTTATCAAATTAAGAGCACAGATGTATAACAAGCATTCATTAGGGTTCTAAGCACTTAGGTCATAAATGACTTTCACTGTTCAATTCCTGAGTCTCTATAAACCCCCAAACACGGGTATTGTATTTCAAACAAGAAAGACAATCTTTTGTATGTAACCATGGATACGTACATGGCACCTAACATGTTCCTTTGCTGGAGTGCATCATAATTCTCCGAAAATAAATCTCTACAGCAATATAGTTCATAGCATTTACAGAATAGTTTCCACAAACCTTTCCATCCCAACACATAAACCTACATTCAAAAACACCTTGCTGTATTTGACATATTAAGGACCTATCCCAAATTTATCACAAATCAGAAAATGTCATGGAATGTTCTAGGCTGAAACATATAGCATGTTGTAGGGGAAACATGCGGAAAATTCTATGCTCAGGATTGGCAGAGAACTACGATGTATATATTCCAAAATATCACTATGACAACTCATCAACACCCACCCATACTGGTAAAAGTTCAGCCCATAACTCCCGCTTGAAATGTATTCTCTTTATTAGGATTATTTCGAGGGGTTAGAGACCCAGGACAGAATTGGTCTTCAGTAACCCATGCTTGTCATTAGATACATGTCATCGGTTCCCAATTGCGTAGATCGATGCTCATGCTGTTGATCACTAAACTGTCTGGTCCAGACTCGATTATTTACAGACCACCGCCATATAGCTGGAATATTGCTGAGTGTGATGTAAAACTCAACTCACTTACACTCGAGGGGTTAGGGTTTCGAGTTTAGGGTAAGCTTTAGAGTAACGTGTAGGGTTAGGGTTTGGGTTAGGTTTAGGCTTTTCATAAAAATCATCTATGATGAATGATAAAAAAACAACAGGGTTACGGGCGGAAATCTTTCCTCCTTACCCATACCTCCCCAAACACACGCACACACACACAACTTCAAACAGACCATTATCTAAAATCCCTTTATCACAACTTCCTTCAAATTCTCCCTATGAACCCTTCCTTATAATCACACAACCTCCTTCCCAACCCTTCCTCAAATTCTCCCTATGAACCCTTCCTTATAATCACACAACCTCCTTCCCAACCCTTCCTCAAATTCTCCCTATGAACCCTTCCTTATAATCACACAACCTCCTTCCCAACCCTTCCTCAAATTCTCCCTATGAACCCTTCCTTATAATCACACAACCTCCTTCCCAACCCTTCCTCAAATTCTCCCTATGAACCCTTCCTTATAATCACACAACCTCCTTCCCAACCCTTCCTCAAATTCTCCCTATGAACCCTTCCTTATAATCACACAACCTTCTTCCAACCCATCAAGACAACCTCTGCATTAGCCACAGTTAACCTTGACCAACAAGCAGATCAGTCAGACAATCACGGAAACAAGATCTTGTTGAGAAAAGCTAAAAACATCATCACTGATTACATAACATTTAATATTATAATTGTTCAAGGATCAAGATAAACAAAGTTAACAGACCACACTTTCCACACCACCACCCTCCCCGATGTTCACAATTGGACATTTTTATTTGAGCTGCCACATCTACTAATTGAACGTGTTAAACCAAGGCAGTTTTGTTGTTACTTGTCTGAGAGGAATCCACTGGAGTTCATCTTTTACACATATAGCAGACTATATGACCTATCTGAGACTGACAGCCCCACCATGATGCCTCCCCCAACCCCCTGGTCTAGTTTACTTTTTTCCTCCACCCCCTGCTCGACTCTTCTAGTTGGTCCCTTGGGAAACACAAACCCAGGCTCACCAGACACATGCTATGGAAGATGTACATTTGTTGATGTTTAGACACAAGCTTTGAAGTGAGGGACGGAGGGAATCTCTACACTATTGTATTACACCTCTCTACCTCCTCATGTGAACACCTGAAATATCACCAGCAATCAGCTCTCTCTCATCCTAGTCTCCGTTCTTCCGATTCCTCTCTCATAGTTTCTTACAGTCTTCCTTCTTTGCCTTTCTTTCTCTGTATCTCTCTCCCACTCTCTCTTTCAAAGCCCCACAGGAAAGCCCTTCATTCTCATCTTTCCTAACTAAATTCTTTCCCTGAAATCTCTTGTTTTATTTTATTCCAACATTCCCCATTTCCTTTGAGTGTTTTATAATGTTCTTCCTTTCCTGCCTCTTCCCATCTATTCTTTATCCCTGATGGTTTTTTCTCAGTGTTAATATTTTCTACCATTATACACAAACTATAACATATTATAACACAAAACTTTAAAAATCCTTCCCAATTTGTATGTAAGGGTACACATGATAGAAAATACCAGGAAAAGTTCATATAGCCACAGCAAGCGCCATGTACCGGTACATAGGTACAGCTCCATGTACACAGGTACAGCTCCAGGTACATAGGTACAGCTCCATGTACATAGCTACAGCTCCAGGTACATAGCTACAGCTCCATGTACATAGCTACAGCTCAAGGTACATAGCTACAGCTCCAGGTACATAGGTACAGCTCCATGTACATAGGTACAGTTCCATGTACATAGGTACAGCTCAAGGTACATAGGTACAGCTCCAGGTACATAGGTACAGCTCCATGTACATCGGTACAGCTGTACAGCGCCACAGCTGTTCCATGTACATCGGTACAGCTCCATGTACATAGGTACAGTTCCAGGTACATAGGTACAGTTCTAGGTACATAGGTACAGCTCCATACATGGACAACTGGGCTATAAGGATGAGGGGGGAAGATGGTAAAATGGGATAAGTATGTACACTTGTACTGTCTACTACTCTCAAACCTTTCCTTCCCTCAAGTCATTACTCACCTCAGGCCAGTAGGCTAGTCTAATACATAAAGCTTTCAATCAGGTTCTACTGCCTACATGAGTACAATGTGTGAAACCTATTTACGGGTCCCCCAACCCACTAGCATTGCCGGAATATTGCTATTAGTGGCATAAAACCATATTCACTCACTCACTCCAGTTCCATACCTGATATGCTTATTGACAACACTGACCTACAAATAGTTTAACATTTTAGATTTTCCCCAACTTCCAAACTCCATAAAACAATGTATACAATCTCTCTCTACTTGTGCACTGTTGTATTTCATGTTACAACCAAACATTTTGCTATGTAGCTAAATTTTCCCCTAACGCTGTCAAACTTACTTCTTTTTTAAAATACACAAAATAATTTCAACTAATTAGAACAAGTCAATAACCATGTACTATTATCCAAACAATGTTTTTTTGTGGTGAGGAAAATATGTTCAAACACCCCTCTAATCACAGGCCTTAGCAACTGAATCCTATAACACCCAAACTGGCGCTACTCCAACAGAGGATTACCTCCCCTAACTCTGCCCCGACTTCGATCTGCTTCCTATTTCCTGTTTCGACTGCAGCAGGTGTGTGATATTTGGGCACTTGCCGAAGAATCCCACTCTAACATTTACCAAGACAATTCTGTGCGAAATAACCTCCCCAGGCCTTTGACCTCCATTATTGTTCTTTCTATGATCTCTTTTTTCATAATCCCACAAATCCAGCCTCTTCCTGAAGCTCCATCTGCATAGGAAATGCAACAACTAAACCGCACTAGCTAATATGTAAGACTTGCGATCATACTTCTTATGATGCCATTTATATATTTTCTGGAATGTTCACACCTGCAGTCAGTGTTGGGTTTAGGTCATCGTAACCTTGTGTATCAACATCTAGTGTCATCTTATAGCAAAGGGGCGGTAGGGCAGCCCAGTGGTTAAGGTGTTCGCTCATACACACTGAAAACCTGGGTTTGATTCCCCACATGGCTACAATGTGTGAAGCATATTTATGGTGTCCCCGCCATGATATTGTGGAATCTAAAAGCAGCACCACACTGGTGTCACACTGCTAGGTGAGGAAATGTCTGCTACATGTGTATTAATAACAGGTATGATGGTAAGCATGGTGACTCTAGCACGTGGGTTTGCTTTCCTTTAAAACAACAAATGGAGAACTAGAAACATGGATTTTCTTCTTGATAATGGATTTTTTTCTTGGTTCTGAGATAATGGAAAACTTGTATCATCACTATTTGACAGAGTTAAATAGACACATGCTTATGATACAGATGAGACTGAACAATCAACTCAACCTATGACAGAGATTTCTTGTGGCTATGGAAGGCTTTGTACTTCTTATTTCCT